ATTATAAAAAAATCGGGTTACTTCGCCTTTAATTTCTCCCGCAATATTTAACATTTTTTAAATTCTATAAAATCAAGATGTTTAATGAAAAGTGTCTTTATAAAGTAATAACGTTAGAATTTTATCTCTCTAATTGAAATATGTCACAGCTTCTATTTACAAATATAATGCAGGCCACATGCGGTCTCCTTACATAATAACAAAAACAAATAAAATTATACGTATTTGCCAACGTGCTCTTTAAATATATAAGAAAACTCGGACAATGAATTACATTAAATCGTATAATAGCAGGTACTTAGGTAAGCCATAACATATTTCAATTAGTTCTAACGTTATTACTTTATAAAGACACTGCTCATTAAACATCTTGATTTTATACGTAGAATTTAAAAATGTTTAACGCAGATCCCAAAATTTTATTATATTAGTGATCATCACTATATCATCTGCTCTATGTTTGCAAATTGACCTATAGGATGCACCAGACCCCCGAATAATTATAACAAGGTTATATTTGAGCCATTAGCAGTTTTTCTGCAATTTGATTGGATAAAAAAAATTAGCCAATCAAATTGCTTAATTTTGTAAAAGTTTGGCTTCTGTTAGCGTTAGCTATTTTTCAAATATGATCTCAATTAGTATTGTGAGGGGTCCTGATACACCCCAATGCCACATGGCATGCCAAATATTTTACCCGTGCAATTATTATAAAAATTCTAATTGTTGCTGTTTTAATTTTGCCACATTTCATGGTAGGATTTCTTGTATTTCTTTCTCGATCAAATACTTCTTTAAAGCTGGCTCAGTTGGTTAAGCTAATACTGTATCCGAATATTGGATTTGAATTAATATTTCTTTATTAATATGCCGTAAGTTCACACCTCCAAGCGCAAGTGCTCTCTTTCTGTTTTTAATCTAAAAATCCTCGCAAAATTTTAGGTTAGGTGATCTTTTAACTATCGCCTTATCCGAACCCTAAACTTAATCCAACTACCAATTTAATTTTTTAAAAAAAAACAATTTCAAATTGGTATATAATATAAATTTAGCTTTGATTCTAGAATTCAGTTTTTCATCATAGGGTGGCGATGACTATCGCTAGTTAAGTAAAAGAATTTGAAATTTTTGTAAGTAACGCTTTTTTTAGAGGTGGATTAATAAAATACCTGCACCGGATATCAGGAGCGGGATTTATACCTTTTCTGGATTTAGGATTATGATTAATTATACAAATATAGTTAATACCATGAAAAGGTCTAAATCCCAAGACCTTTGTGTATTTAAATAGAAATCCCAAATTCAGTGATAATTATTCTATTATATACCAATGAAGCTGATTTATAATTTGAAAAACTATTTCCAATTGAATTTAACAAAAAAAACAAATTTATTATCTTAATTGTATCACCTGTGATGAAATGCAACTACAATCGATACAAATTTGTTTTGTTTTTGTTTTTTTTTTTTATAGTTACAAAAATATAATTTTTTTCTAATTACAAAAAAAAATTTTTTTAAAAAAAGCATATATATAATTAAATGTCTGCAATAGTAGGATTCACTGTAGAATCAGTAGTAGAATCAGTAGTAGAATCAGTAGTAGAACCAGTAGTAGAGTCAATAAGAAAATCATCTATTTGATTATCGTTTTCATCATCGCACCCGCACTTGTATTTATCAGCTATTAGACCACAATCGAATATTTCTTTCTCTAAACGTACATTGACGATATTATGAATAGCACAGGCCCATTGAGATGCGGCTTCTCTAGAGGAAACTTGAGGCGGATATTTTTCCAAAAGTATTTGAAATTCCGTTGCACTAAGAAGTAAATATATATTATAAATATGAATTCTCATAAAATATTTCTTATTATTCCTTATGACGCTCACCATTCACCGCAAGGGTATAGCCTACTGAACAAATAAATGAAATTGCGTAACGCTTCTTTTTCGCTTGTGGTTGGATTCTCCGGGAATCGAGCCATCATAGTATGAAGTAACTAGAAAAAAAATTTTATTAGTAGAACATTTCAGTGAAATTTCCGGATCACATGATCAATTGTTTAATGTGTCCATTTATATCGATACTCTTAGTTAGAAGCCTGCACGGGCCGGGCTGAAATTAAAAAACCTCTCAAAATTGCGAGACTGGTATGTCAAAAAACATAATAAATTTTATTTTGCGGGCCGTGCGGACCGGCAAAAGTACAAATTTTTAGTCCCGTGCAGGTCCATACTCTTAGTAGCAAAAAGCTGTTATACCTTCCAAGTTCCACGTCCAAGCTCAGCTCTATAAATGGTTACGTTAATTTTAATCAAATCTAAAGAATTAATCTCAAAATTTTGTATACATACTTTATAGTATCGTTTTTTAACTCTGGCATAACAACCGGCCCATGAATTACTTCGAAAGAAACTTCAGGTATTTCAAGTATTTCAGGTATTGAGTCATTTACCTGTTCATTAAAGTCAGGTAGTAACCGTTCATTAATAATAATATCAGTATAGTTTAGATAAAGAAGTGTAGGCAAAATAATTAGAGAGATCAAGATGAAAAAAATGGCAAGTGGGCGCATATTTATGCGTTGTTATGAATAAAAGCATATAGCAAGGACAAAAAAGCGAACGAAAGAAGTGCAAACAAGTCAGTAGTCGATACTGCTTTAAAATGGTTTAAATAAAAGCATCGGCACAATAATAAGCCTTAAGTTTTCAACATGAGAAACAAGTACTGTATGTGCGATTTTTTTATCATAAATTATTTTTTAAAATAGTTTAATATGCAGATTTGCAGATTTTATAAAATTAACTATAGATAAAACTGTATCTGTTATGTGGCCACATAAATAAAACCCATCCAATCAATCGTTAACAGTGTCAGTTTAAAATGTCTGCTCTAAAATGTTTTATTTGCATTATTTATTTAAAAAGGTTTCAATATCTGAAAAGTTTCAATTTTTCGAAAAGTTAGGATAATATTTTGTTTTTTTATTTGAAGAAAAGTTTGATTATAAACATTTACATGGAAAATAAAACAAAGCAGCAAACGCTTTCTACACCACAATCACAAAATGTTTTCTTGTTCGTGCCGAATGTTATAGGTAAGTGCAATCAAGTTTAAATTTGCGATCTTTAATTTTGATTTTATAAATCCAGGAAAGTTTGCAATATATTTCTTAGCCTTACTAACTATCTAGATCGGATTTCATAAACATCATAAATCAGGCTATACCCGAGTCATTCTCGCCATACTCTCCCTGTATTACATGCCATTTTCACCTTGGAAATGTATGGGATTATACACAATTTCATGCTTGCTAGATGCTGTGGACGGTAACGCTGCTAGATATTTTGATCAATGTATGTATTTTCGTAATAGCTTGAGTTTTAAGTCTAAACATTAGATCATAGTTATTCCTTTTATTATGTATAGGTAGTAAATTTGGTGCAGTTCTAGACATGGTCACAGATAGGTGTGAATATATTATGTTTTGCTGCTTATTTAATGTTGTTTTAATTGAATTCCTAACTAATTCTAGCATCTTATGTAGATCTACTACAACTTGTTTGTTATGTTATCTCTCCTCTGTTTACCCATTGTGGACAATCGTATTTCAATTATTAATATCTTTGGACCTTAGTAGTCATTATATGCATATGTATAGGTGAGCTAATAATGTACTTGAATAATTATATATGACAAAAATGCTTATACATATTATTTTAAGCTCCTTAACAGCTGGTGCTTCTAGTCATAAGAAAATATCAAAATCATCGAATCGTATGCTGAGGGCTTACTATTCAGACAATGTTAGTTCTTCTTTAACGCTTAGTAAAATTACATGTCGAATTTATCAATAATCAAATATCTCGGAAATTCATATTTAAATATAGAGGATTCTTTTTGCCGTTTGTGCATTCAATGAATTGTTTTTCGTTGCATTATACCTTTTATCATTTGAAGATGATCCTACTTGTAAGTTTCAATTCAACCAAGTTATTAATTTTTGACCTTTTATAACTATAATTTAATAATTTATATTTGAAAAGTCCCAGAGTGGAGCATATTTCCTCTTTATCTTCTTGCATTCGGCTCATCTCCTATTTGTGCTATCAAACAAGTGATTAACATAATTCAATTGGTGGGGGCAAGCCAGAATTTGGCAAAAGCTGACGTAGAAGATCGAAATAAGGCATTTAAAAACAGTTGAGAAGGTAATAAAGCGAATTAAATGTATAATATAATACTTGTATAGTTATTACAATCAATTTTTTTTCTGAGAAAGTGCAGGAAAGTTATAATTATTTATTTTTATTGTTATTGGCTACCATCAACACGGAAGCTAGTATTTTGAACTATGCATTAATTAAAATATTTTAATTCCGAACTATTAAGCAATATGATCGTTTATTAGTTATACAATTTAAAATAGATCTTAATGTGAAATGCTAATATTGTCCTTTAAGTACACAGAAACGATTAATACACATATTTGCCGGGTAGTGTAATTAGTAGATTAAGAACATGTGATAATAACATAGATTCTTTATTTAAAAAAAAAAAAAAAAAACTTTTCAAAAAATATCAATGTTCATTGTGACCAGAATCTACTTCTTTATTGCTCTTTAATGTTTATACACATTTATACACGTAGCAGCGCGCTACTCAAGATTAACATAAAATCACTAAGAAATAATTGAATTCATACAACATTAATACAATAGCATAAATTTGTATCATCATCATCATCATCATCATCTAGTTGCCTGATGAATCAAATTTATCTGTTCTTTTTTTTTGTCTGCTGAATATGACTTTATTGCATAGTTTTTTTTTTGATTGATTAGATTAACTACTATAAGTGAATTAACATTATTAAGGATGACTAGAGGTCGGAATCGAATTTAATTTTTAAATTCGAATTGTTATAACGATAAGTTGAATCCAACTTCCTAATCCAATTTTAATATTGATCCGTGACATGGATTACTAGGTCATAGCACCCAAAAATGCTCTAATCTCATGTTAAGACGGCTTCCAAAGACGGTTACAAGTGGTTTCACGATTGGCATCATACGTTCGGGAAAGTAATTTTTTAGATCTATCGGTTTTGAAGACCTATGTTCATATTTTTCATCTTCGATCATACATTGATCATAACGTCCGTTCTTTCAGATCAGGTGATTTTTGACGATGTTCGAATGCCTTCTTTTCATCGGAACCTCCATGTCTAATTTCTTTTTCGTTTTTTGATTTTTTAAATTGCCACCAAGGCACTGCATGTCATGCGTTGGGTCATCGCAGCGAAATATGGAGAGTTACCAACGTCTTAATACGAAGGCATGGTTTCACGTTTACCAATTTTATTGTTTTTATTTAGAACGAAAGTGAAATAAGCATTTATTTATTTCTCATGCCCCTTATATAAATCACATTGACACTATCAATTACATCTTTAATTTCATTAACTTCCTTTGATCGAACCACTGATCTATACTTGCTGGCAAAACCCAGACAACTCCCAAAAAATAATTGTTATTTATAAAAAATCAAATCAAACAAATCATCTTAAAATTTTGCAAATATATTGTTTATAACTATAAGAACATATTTGATTTATTTAAACAAGAATTATTAATAAAATTTTTGAGTTATAAGTTTGGCCACTTTAAGTGGACAACCTAAAGGGTCCGGCCAAACTTATAGTTCAAAATTTTATTAATATAGTCATTACAGCATTATTAATTGAAAATTTAAAATATCCATTTATCCCATTAAGCAATTAATTAAATTATACCTATCTGCTTAATATGCTCGTTCGCACGATATTATATTATCTGTATGCTCGATTAAAATTGATAGCAGCATTTTTGAATCTAACCGGATTGCTTTCGGCACATCCTTGCTTAGTCATCGTTTCGTTGACTTCTGTCAATTTGAATATACTCAATTTCAAACTTTATGAAAAATACATGCCATAGAAGTTTGTTGTAAACATTTTTAATATTGGCTTGTGGTGTAGGTTTTTTATAACGGCTTTTTATAATCAACTTTTTATAACAGTTTGTTGTATAGCAAATTTGTTATATAATAATCTAACAGTATAACTATGTGACGGTTTTATAATAGCTGTATAATGGTTTTGAATATTCGAATTAATTCAAATTCATACTTAATACGAATTGATTCGAATGTTCAGTTATTCGAATATTCGATTCCAACCTCTAAGGACGACCACTACGACCACGAGGACCACCTCGAAAACCTCTGCCACGTCCACCTCGCGCTGTATCAACACACAAAATTGTTAAATAAATCTTGTAATTATATTAACGTAAGAATACTAAATACAGACCTTGAGCTCTTGCTACTGTAGCCTTCCCTCTTCCCATGCCTATTCCTCTTCCTTTCATAGCATTAGGCCCAATTTTTTTGAACATCGGCGCATTTTTTAACATATCAGGTACGATAAAAAATCGAACGTGTGAGCCCCTAATGTACACTTGATCTAACTGTGAAACTCGACCATCTCGTGCTGTTACAGTGATTTCTCGAAGTTGTACATTCATATTATCTTCAGCTAATTTTGATTAAATTCATTCTTAACCTTTTGCAAAAAAAAAATACTTAAAGTAAGACCATGCAAACTTAATAAATCGGTTCTCATAACCCGGCCGGGTCAAAATTTACAAAACTCTAAAAAAAATTTTCAAGTATACTTACTATCCGGGTGAGTTTTTTTAACAAATCTATAAAAAATTTTATATGTTTTTTATATATAAAATTGTTTGAAAATAAAATTAAAAGCGGGTTGCCGGGTCACTTTTAAAAATTGTTGAGAACCGATTTATTAAGTTTGTATGGCCTAATAAAAATTTTTACCTTCAGACAATTTGCCTCTGTAAACAGTTCCATTGTTTAATTCTAGAGTCACAATATGGCCTTGAGCTTCATGAAGTAATTTGATTGGTACGCCGATAGACATTTTGATTTGCGAGAAAGAACGGAGAATAAAACTGCTTCGAACATGATAACATTATAATACTTACATTTCTGTCACATGACTTATCTAGATTATCGGACAAGGGACATTTTTTCTTACAGGGGTTAAAAATCTAAGCGGAGAACCAATTTAGGGTTTGATTGGTTTATATAAATAGATTGATCTTCTGATTGGTTTTGTCACGTGATTCATTCTGGAAATATAGCGGAAAGTCTACGGACTAGGGTGTCCAGGATTATGATCCGGCAAATGCCAAATTATGCATCCGCTAAATTGCAAATTATGCGAATTATGCGAATTATGCGGGGGCTTTAATTATATATAAAATTACAAAAAAAAATATTTATCTGTTAGCGTTAGATTTATTTAAAATTTTATATAATTGTTAAATTGTATTTAGCTTCTAATTCATATCAATTTGATTAAAATATAACATATTTAGCATTTCAATAGATTCACGTAAAAGAAAATGCCGGTTGTCATCTAAAATATTTTTGTAAGCAGAAAAGCTATACTCTACCTCAACATCAGAAATTGGAAGCCAAATATATTTTAAAGCTATTTTACTTAAACAAGATAAAAAACAGTGTTCTTTTAACCAATATTTTTTAATATTAAAATCTAATTCAAAAACTTCTTCACTATCACAATAAATTTCTTATTCTTGAATTAACTAATCACTTGGTTTACTAAATTCTTGGATTATTAAATATATATAAAGATTTCTTTTAGTAGTTTTTTGACAAATTCATTATAGATCAAAACATTGAATTGTTGAAAAAAGCTTAAGTGCAGAGTGTTTATTAATATAATTGTTGAACTTATTCAATATCAATTGAAAAGCTTCACAAAACATAATTTTATAAACTTTTGAATCAATATTATTTTTATTAAATTCATGATTTATTTGAGTACTTAATAGTAAGTCAATAGTTTCTGTTTGCAAAAATGATTGTATTTGTTCTATTTAAAATATAATATTGTTACAAAGTAGTTTTTAGCATAGTATATTATAAAGTAGTATTAATAATATATATATATTTATTATTGTATTTTATATTATATTTATTATTAATTATTAGTTAGTCGATAGTTATATTATATAATAGATAGATAAAAGGATTTTAATTGGTTATTAAAAATATGATATAGTTACATGACATTGAGTAACATCTGTAATATTACTATCATTTTACAAATCCCAAGTACTTCTATACAAGTTTCATATATCTTATTACCAAATTTCTGTATCAAGTGTTACAACACAAAAATTCCAAGTATCTCTGACATGAATCCCAAGTGTTTTTATATAAACTCTAAGTATCTTTACACAAATCCCAAGTATCTTTATATAGATCTAAGTATCTAAACACAAGCTTCAAGTATTTTAAATATGAATGACAAATAATATAAACAATATTTCAAGTTATTTCTATACAGTCCCTATTACTCCAAGCACAGTATCATTTAATGTTGTTTGAATCTCCATTGTTCCAAGTACAATGATATTTAATGTTATTTGAACCCCTATTACTCTAAGTACAGTATCAAGTAATATTACTCAAATTTTTATTATTTCTACTAGATAAAAATATATATAAAGGATAGTTTTCACTCTTCTTTGCTAATTCTAAGTTTCTATATTTCAATCTAGATCCTTCTACCTTTACTTCTAACTTGTAAAAGTAATATTTTCTTTCTAGAGTAATTCCTATAGACAAAATTGTCATTGTGTGTTATTTAATAAAAGTTAATCTATATACTATTACTATCTCAAACCACTTGCCTGCTACTGTGTAGTAAAATGAACTACTACATCTTCATCCTATATATATTTGCAATAGTCAATCACTATATCAAATGACCTTGTTATTTGGATGTATTGTACCAAAAAGGCTACAATCTTGTAACAATATATATTGCAACTGATTTTTTTTAATTATTATTATTATTTTTTTTTTTAACATTAAGCAGTTACACTAGTACTTTATTAAGATTCTTGAAACTATATACATTTATAATTATATAAAATTCCCTAATATCTAAGTCTAGAATCACTCAGCCACCCTATTGGTACCTAAGTGCAATCTGCTATACTATCTCAGTTAAAGATAAACTGCTCGTTTAACTACTTAAAGCAGTACCAAAAGGGTTTTTTTCCTTCTGTAACAAGCATATCAATTGTCTTCCAAGCTTTTTTCTTCATTCATTTCATTTTTTTTATCTTCTTTTTCTTTTCTTCTTCTTTTGTTAACTTATTTCTTTTTGTTCTTTTTCTTTACTTTCTTTGGATTTGAGTGTCTTTCTTTATTTTGCTTGTTATGTTCATCTTCTTTTCTTTTTTTTACACTTTTCCTTATCGAACTCTTCATACTTGGTAGTAGAATATATTCTATACTGTTCTTGTTATTATTTCTATACATCTCTGCATTGCCTATTTATTAAGAATTTGACTGATCCTTTTTTCATTTTCTTTGTAATTAGCCCTTTTATCAATGCTCTTCTATTAATGATTTCCTCTGCTTCTGTTTTTCTGAATGTTGCTTCATATAGCACTCGAGATAAAATTCTAATTTTTTCATTTTCTTTGAGACTATTCTATGCTGTTGCTGTTGCTACCTTTTGAATTCTTTTCCACAGAATTCTTTTATTGCAATTTGCCAAATGTGTCTGAGTTTTCTTTTCATCTGTTTGACATACTTGGCAATCTGTTATCATATATATTTCTGGTCTTCTTCTGTTTAGTTTTTCTAGAGTTAGCAGATCATTCATTATATATTTGATTGCTGTTACTCTTCTTATACTGAGTTTTTTTGTCATACAGTATATGTCTTTTGTTCTATTCATATTTTTCCAAAAACTTAACCAATTATATTAAGTATTTTCTGTTTCTAATTCTAATACTTAAATCAGGTTTGTTTCTCTCCAACTGGCTCCAACTCTGGCATTTGCAATTATTTTGCAAAAAAGTCTTGTTAGTATATTAACTTTTTTGTTTTCCCATTCTAAATAGTACTCTATTCTATTACACTTAATCTTCTCTATAGGTATCACTATTCTATATGTTGCTCCTTTCTTTGCAAATACATCTACTCTGTCATTTCACTTATCATTGCTATGACTTTTAACTTTAATTAGTTCAATTCTGTTACTTTTGCTTTTGATTAAGTTTACAATATTCATTATCTATATTGCATTTTTCTTTTTAAGAACTTTGTTATTCTCTAACCCTTAAATTTTTCTATTAATGTTTCTTAGTGCTACCAAATTATCTGTATGTACTTCTATATTCTTCTTTTCTGAAACAGTTAAGATAACTGCCCATATTGCTGCAAATTCTGCTATTATCGCTAAAGGCCAGCCTTCAAGTCCTAATGCCATTTCTTCTTCTGATCAGTTTTCTTTATTACTGATCTGTATCCAGCCAATGCCCATCTTTTCTGTACTATTCTTTCTTTTCTCTTTATATAATGCTCCATTTGTATAAAAGATATACTTGTCTTTGTTTCTTATCTTGTTTCTTGTTAGGACTTTTATTAAATATGTTGTGATTTTATTATCTAATTCTTGCTTTTTGATTAATTTTATCTCATATTCTTCTATTTGTTTTAGTCCAAATAAACTTCTTTTCTCTCTCTTCTATTCCTTTATTGCTCTGTTTACTAGTATCTGTTCTAACGTTGCATTAATCTTGTTATTGCCTTTTTCTACTAGTGTTTTAGGAACTGCTTTTATACTATTGTTCTATCTTATCCACTTTTTACAATTCTCCATTGATTGTTCTGTTTTATTTTCACACCTTTTGCATTTGCTTGTCTCTGTGTATATCTTTTCTTTAATTTTTCATAAAAGCCAATGTTTAGCTAAATTCTTTTTCTTTTTCTTTTTTAATATTTTGCTGAGTTGTTGTTCATGTTTTGGCCTATATATAATCTACTCTTTCTTTCTTCTGTCTTCAGATATCTTTGTTCAATTAATCATTAGTGCCTAAGTATTGTAGCTATTAATCTTGTATTGATCATATATTTCTCTGCTTGTTTGTATTATTAACATCTTTTCTTCTATTTCATTAAACCATTTGGCTTTTTTCACTTTATATAACAACTCTTGAAGACTTTTAAGTTGTTTTCATATAATTAAGCTTTTACTTTTTATATCTATGAGCTGGTTCAAGTACAGTAGGCTCTATTTATTTATTGTACTGCTGCTTGCTATCCAAGATTTGGTTTTAACTAAGTTTCTTATTCTTATTCCATGATTATAAACTTTTTACAAATAGTTTTCTGTTCTGATATTTATTTCTATTTTTTTTGCCTTGATTATTGTTCAACAAGCCAAATTGTGTTTCCAATATTTTGCTTCTTCTGGCTTTATTTTAAACTCCCAAATGTCTTTTACTAAGTCAGCTTTCTGGCATCCTTGTACTATTCTAAGCTTTGTTAGGTCACTCAAATGGTCTTTCCTATTAAGTCTTGTGAGTAAATTACTTATTTGCTTTGTTGCTATTTCCTGACTTAATGATTTACAGTTTTCTAAATCTTTGTGCTCAATTGTGCAGTTGTTTGT